GTTTTGTTGATACAGGAGTATTGCAAATGCTTTGCTATAATTTAAAGAAACTGACTTAAGACAAATGTTGTTGCATCTGTCGATATTTAAATGAAAACTTGAAAATAGAAAATTTTAAAAATTTTTGTTTGTATAAGTACACAAAAAATAGTATGGTCGAGTATGGTCAAGTATACTCTGTATGAGCCCATCTATATATCTTGAGGCGATATAACGCCAGATGCAGCCAAAAATATCAAACATTTTTAACGAAAACATAGATAAGATGAGAATATTAGACATTAGTCTCCTCATATTAGAGGAACGTTTTCTTCAGTTTTATAGAGGTAACACCGAGGTTTAGTTTTTTTTATAGCGCTTTAAGTCATATCATAACATTGCCATGCCTCGATTTACATTTTTAATCAGAAATTTTCAGTGAATTTTCCTGAAATGATATATATTTTTGTATTAACTAAGCATTCACGATTTCCCGGACCCAAAAGATTATCGGGAACTGGACAAAAATTTAAACTCAAATATCAAACATGCTCCAGGAAATTTGGAAGATTTTTTTGTGTTTAAATGATGAAACTTTTCAATTGAGATAATATGACATTAAAATTTTTTGGATAACTATTTTTATTCATCGAGTTTCTGTTTCAAAAATTTCGAAAACAGGAAATCGTGAAAGTCTAGTATCAACTATAAGAAATAAAAAATAAGAATAATTTTGACAGAGAAAGAAGAAAATATACAGTTTTATATTGTCTTAGAGATGCAGTTGTTGAAAATATGCACTTTCAAAAAAAAAAAAATGCTATAAAAACCATTTGATAAGTTTGTTAAATTTGATTCCTTCTTAATCGCCTTCTTGTCAGAGGTAAAAAAATTTAAATCGTCAAAGTAATGTTTGAATACACTTAAAACCTTATACTTTGATCAAAAAATTTGTATAAAACGTAATGCAATTTGCTATAAAGAGTGATAAATCTTGTGAAAATGACACTAATCTATTTAATTTTGATTACTTCGTACCTGTACGGTTTTATGCATGAGAATTGTATGGAATCAATTCTTGATTTGCATCAGTCTAGCTTTACAAAAGAATTTTGAACTTTTTACCATTTTTATAGCCATTACATAATCAGAAATACTCTCTTTTAATGGAAAACTGAAATTTGTGCTAGTTTTTCATAAAATACCCTGCTAATTTTCAATAATAATGTTAATTTATAAAAAAAAATTGTTATTTATCAATATTTGTCAAAAAAAGTATTAAATTTGGTTTTTCAAATTGTTGAAAACTCAAAAAACATTTAATTTCTTTTAAAATTTGGTTCTTGAATGATTACATTTCAGTATTGTAAGTATTGTAAAATATTGTAAATTTAAATGAAAAGTATTGTAAGAATTGTACAATACTTACAATACTTATATGGCAAGTATTGTAGGTATTGTACAATACTACAATACTTGTATGGAAAGTATTGTAAGTATTGTACAATACTTTGGAGTGTCTAACCCTTGTGACTTCTAACATTTAGGTGAAAATGAATATATAACTAATATAGAGATTCATGGCTTTTGTTCTTCGTAGCTTAAAATAGCAGTGATCAGACATTTATCACTAAAGCTCGTTCTCAGTTTTAGTCGACTAGACCCGCCCATGTTAATAAAAGAGCTAAAAGAGTGTCTAAGAACTCTGCAGTCCATCCAAAATTTACTTCCAAATGCATCCCAATGAATAGTCTATAAATATGCATATTAAAGGATTTTCATACTGTTTATGTACACGAAATACATGCGTAGTACTATTATTATTGCTGATAAGATCCGATCAATCAATTTCGATTGATTTCAAGTTTCTATGGATATATATCCATCGTCATTTATTACGTATTTTCCATTATTTTTCATACTGATAAGTAAATTGATGAAAGAATTAATATAGCTTTATAAATAAATTGATGAATTTTCATTTCAATCGTGTTTCGTGTCACTCCAATGTGTGTGTGTATATTTTGTCGGTGCAAAATGAGGCATTTAAATAATAAAATATCACATTACACGGGAATAAAAACACAAAAATAAAGTTTGAACAAAGAAAAAAAGTTTTCCTTGTGTCCACAAAACACGAAACTCAATTAGAGTATATTTCATGTCCACAATTTCCCGTAAAGTCTCCATTCTTTAATTGCTATTGATGTTCATTAATTTTCCTGCAGACGGGATCGTTGGGTAGTGATGTAATATAGAATTTGGGTTCATAGTGAAATCAAATGCGTTTACTCCTGCTTGCTCGGATGGTCTGAAAAATCTCCAATTTTAATATCCATCAATTTCATACTTCCCCATTATAGTGTAACCTAACCCCTTCTGTTGGATAGACGATAAGCATTCAGATATGTATGGGATCTCGGAATTTAAGAGAAAATAAGAACCACAAAAAAATATCCACAAGTTTGGCAGAAAAAATGAACTTAAAAAATTATTATTGAGGGAAATGGAGAAGAGAAATTATTTCTGGATTATATTCTTTGATGCTTTTATGCGCTCACTTAAACACCATAGTTATATTTCATGTTGATGGTTATGATCATGATTATCATGAGGGGAAGACAGTTAAAACTAATTAAAGCATCGAGTATGTTTGAAAAAAATTATGTGTACATGACTATGTCGAAAATACAACGGCAATTGCAGAACTAAATTCACAGTTTTTTTGGTTTTGGTTTTATAGTCATATTATGAACACATTCACACAAATCATCTTTTCGGAAGCAAGCATGAAAAACTGACTGTAGGAAAATGTAGGAATGAAATAGTCTCCATGAAATCGATAAAAAAAAATCTCTCATAAATAATACGCTATAAATAGATATCAACTTTTTTTTGTGAGTCTTGCACCTACGACACAATGTAAATCAGTGGTTCTTAAACTTATAAAAGAGTGGAACACAATAGAGACATAAGATACATTTTGAACTCAAACACAATATATTTGATAACAACAAACTTTGAACTTCAATTTTAACTCTCTTTAACTTATAAAGGGGGTCAAGTGATATTGTCGATGAGAAAAGGGGTTCGAAATATACTTTTTGGGTCTTTATTTCACGTAGCCGTACATAATTGACATCCTTGGAGTTAAGGTCACATAGATTGTGCAGCACTGATCATAAGCAAGCATTAGAACAGAACTTTAAAAAAATTATTATTTCCATGAAATATTTCCGCTTATCAGCCGGTAGAATACGTTGACACAAATTATGAATCACAATAATATTGTTGTTGTAAAACTTGCCAACTTTAAAGACTATTTGTCGTGTTTAACGAGTTTTCCACGAAGATTATTAAAATTTAAAAAAAAAAAATCATTTTAAAGTGTGGCAAGCGAACATTGAACACAAAACAAAAAAGTCTCACTTCATTTCGTGATTCGTGACGATGGAATTTTCTTTCCTATTACCTATTTTTTATGATAGAATTATAGTTCGAGCAAGTGACAACGTGGAACTGTTGAAACCGAGACTGCCTGACTGTTTACGTAAATAAAATTATAAGGGAAAGAAATAGTTTATGTGGCAAAATAGTAGTAAAAGTTTTTTTTTTTTGTGAAGAAGAATCTTTTCATCGTACTCATCTACACTGAATAATAAGAAGTGTAGCTAGTCGTTATCAATTAATTAAAGAGAGAGAGAAGGAGAAAACACGTGTAAAATTTGTGAGATTTTATGAAATGACAGAGCGAAGATGTTGACTGAATAAGAATTTTAATGAATCCCTTCATCATGACGAAACCTTTTACATTTAACTAATTTTCTTAGTTTACAATATTTATAAGACCGAACAAAAGCTTTGACTTCAATTTGTTCTTTTAACCATGCCAAACCCATAGCCAATCCTTTGATTTCTATTTCCATTTCTGTTCTTTTTCTGCCATGTAGCTCCTTTCATTTATTATGATTTCTCCTCATTTTTTATGTCATTCATTGTTATACATACTTTGAATTTCAGCAAAAGAAGGTCAGAAGGAAATTATGTTTTCTTGTACTTGTTAGATGGGGAAAGGAAACGATGAGGAAAGCTCTTGAAAAGTTCTTATTCTTTTTTTCTTGGGGCGATTCCTTCGATTGCTGGATTTCTATACTTATTGCTACTCGAAAAAGATATACTTTCTAGACTTTTCAAGGGCTTCTTCTAGTTTTGAGGTTCGTAAGGTTAATCAAGTTACTGTATCATTCGAATATGATTCACTTTTAAAATGAGGCTACTCATTTATTATCAGCTATGTAGATGTACTGGGCTTTAACCTACAAATTTAGCTAGCAATTTCATTAGATTCAAGAGATTCAAAAGCACTAAACTTCACAGTAGAGCTAAGGATGTCCAGATTCACTAAGCCATCAAAGAGCTCCTAGTCTAAAGCTTAAATCCGTGCCTGAACTCATTCAGAACCTTAAACATAGTCACGCTCCAGTCAGCTTAAGGAATTTCCCATATGCAGATCTCTCGTCCGTTCGTTCTTTCCTTATCATTTTTCTTAACGAATAAGTGAGTGGATAAAAGCTTGTACCTTTTTGGGATACAAAATAGCCAATAGGATACGCAAAATACAGAATTACTTGTTCATTTTGTTATGCACGACAGAAAATTAAGGGATATATGACATTATTCAAATATAAGGAGTGACGTTTAATATTATTATGGGTAAAGCTATGGCATGTTGTGTGTTGGAGGAGTTAACATAGCAATTTTTGGTTCCATATTGCATGTGCTGGAAATCTCCAAGACAATAAGTATTGTGAAAGGATTTCGACTTTAAGTAAATATCAAAATATTGTGAAATGTACTTTAATACAATTTAGAAGTTAAAATAGGGAAAATAGATGTATGTGGAAGAAATTAACACTTTGAGGTGATGATATTTTAGCAAGAATAACTGTACATCTGTGACTCTTGATGATGTATTATGTGCAACAAGAAATCTCAATATATTAATAGAATCTACTACTCACCTTATCGTAATTTTTAAGTGCTATTATTCCTTCCAATTAGTTTTGTTTTTAATTTAATACTTTTCACAACTTTTCACTTGATCTTTGTTTGCATTAATTTTTTCACTATTTTCAATGTTATTATGATATTTTATATAAAGATTCACAATTCTACCTAATTTTAAACGTTAACAGATGTCAATTCTTTGATAATATTGAATAAAATAAAATCACGAAACTTCCTATACCGTGTTAATCATTAAAAAGCCGAGAATGAACTGAGAATAAACTGAGTAAGTCACAGAATGTATACAAAAAACTTTGCAAAATTGAAGATTTGAAATTATTTTGATCGTTATGGAAAAGTACAAAAAAATTGAGCTAATCGGACTATAACTCAAGGTATTTATATGAATTATGATTAGATTTATGCTGTTCAAGTATCAGTAGATAAAATTAAGTATTTCGAAAGAAAACAACATTTTAATTTTAAAAACTAGAAAAATAGTTGTGCACTGAACGAATCTTTTTAGGGCTGGAGATTTCTGAAAATTAAACGACCGTTATTTTCATTGTTTAAAATTCACTGACTCAATCAATCCTATAACACTAAATTCTATTCAAAAGACACAGTTGTATTTAAATTAAATATGACTTTTTATTTCAAATTGTCTCCATTTGATCAAAACTCTCATAAAATTTGCATCTTTATGACTTAAATAGTTACATTGATTCTATCATTTGGTTAGCTGTGATACATTTAAAAATATGATTTAAATTTGTTTTGTTTTAAAGCTATAATGCAACAGATAGCTCTTTATAAATTCTATGAAAGTGAAGCTTGTGCATAAAATCTCACTGATAAGGTAGCATTTTAAAAGCATAGAATAGAGAGTATGTAATGTTCTAATGACTATGTTTTGTTTTGTATTTTAAATTAAGTAAAAAATATGGATATAAGTATAGAGAGAGAATTAAACATTTCTTTGCAAATGTTATCACACCAATGTATTTTCTGTTTTAGAATCGACTAGAAAAATTCAAATTATTTTTCCTTAAATTAATATTTAATTAACAGGGAATGGTTCAATCATTTCCTGCGATTGGGAGCTTTTCAGGATGTCAAAATCCTCAAAATCCTTGCTATAACGACTAATCGGTCGACTAAATGAGCTATTTGAGGGTGTTCTACCGTCAACGGAATCCTCATTTGATGATTGATAAATCTGAGTTAAATAGTCAGATGTTAAATAAACTGGTAAATCTGTATCTTCGTCGTCAACTGCTCCATAATCTTGAATGTCGTCCGATTCGTGGGTTTCAACCATCGTTAACCACTGAGAATTATGGTTCCTGAATTTCTCCAACTTAATTCTACTCGCCCAATTTGAGTCTGTCATTGCAATTATGTCCAAACAAAAATCACAAACTTTTCGTATTTCTACATTTTTATCGTGCATTAAATCTATCAAATATGCTGGTGCTTCTGTTTCTTTTATAATATAATTACGTGTGCTTTCATTTCTGAGTACTTGCTGGAAAACATAAACAATTTGCAACACCATTTCGTCGTCTTCCTGTTTCGCTTTTAGTAACTCTATTAAACTCAATATTACTTCAGCTTTGCACAGCAACATGGCACATAATTCATCATTTGTAGCACACGTACTTAGAAAAACCACAGTGTCAAGTACAATATCGTCTTTTGCATTTCCTGGGATCAAAGTTTTTCTCATCCATGGAATTAATCCATGTGCTTGAAGTATTTGCGAGTAATCCAACTCGGGCAATAACATATTTCCAAGAATGCCAATACATTCAACCAAAAAATCTTCGTCATCACATTCGTTTATAGCTTTTGCAAAATCATCGACAAATTCCTAAAAATAAAAATTAAATGACATATGTGAAACAAGAAATACATCTTGTAGAAAATTGAGTCGCAAAATGACCGAAAATAATTCAAACTAGTCAAAAAATATTTGAAAAAATATCGGTTAAAAAATATTTGAAAAAATAACGGTCGTGAAAAATTCGAAAGTTATGCTGCAAAACTCACCATAAACTCCTTTCTTAATTCCTCGTGCGTTGAGATGTTCCTTATCATTTTCAACATTAAAGCATCACGATACTTGAATGCTCTTTCCAACAAATCTTTAAGTCGATTATTCTCGCACATTTTCTGTGCACATTTCTTGTTAAGTGCCAAATTTATTCCCAATGCGATGAGGTCAATATCGGATTTTTTATTCAAATTTAATAGGAGCATATCGGTTAGCATTGGAACACAATCAGTATATGTGAAAACGACCTTCACTTTATCATCGAGACTCATATGATACAAAATTTTAATGACTATCGTATGATGCTTATCCTCACTCATAAATTGAACGAGTTTTGGTAGCAATCCAATTCGTACCATTTTAGCACGTAATTGTCCATCAAATGATAAATTGAAGATTAATTTTAATGTCGCTTGAATGAGATCGGAATGTGAGCTTTGGAGAAGTCGTGGAAGCTTTTCAATCACATTCAATTCCTTCAATTCGTCCTTATTGTCTCGCACGATTGATAGCTTTTTTAAGAATGTCACGATGAGAACCAATAAATCAATATTCTGTCTTTCTAATGCCTTTACTAGCATTTTAATAATGTTCTTTCTACGCATTTTCTCCTCTAATTTCGTGTTTTCGGCTATATTAAGGAGCAGATAAAAAGCAACGCGCAACAATTGTTCTTGTTTTTTGGCAAACGTTTTCAATTGCTTATTTAATCTTTCAATTTCATCTTTTTGACGTTTTGGATCATTTTTCAAATCTTCTGTTGAATTTCCATTCGAATTTGTTTGCAATTCCTTTGAAAGACCCTCATGATAACTGTTATTCATTGAATAGGCTTTCATTAAAGACGACGATGAGGCTGATGATACCATACTATTTGCCATTGACCAATTTCCACTCTTTGGGCGTTGTTTTAGTTCTGGAATTCTTCTTCTCGGTGGTTCCATCTGAAAAATTAAGGGATTCTTATTAGAACTAGTTTTTTGACTGTCAGGAAATATTTGAAAAATAACTGTCTTTTATTTTTTGAAAAACAACCGTTAAATTAAGATCCACTTACTTCTTTTGGTTTCTCAACATTCATGATTGTTCCATCTAAATTGTCTTGACTTTTGTTCAAATCCTTTCCACCGTTTTCAACATTTTTACGCTTATCCAAATCTTGCTTCATTTGCTCGTAACGCTTTAATTCGTACTCAATGACGTCCATACACAATGATCCAATCTTATATTGAACGATTACTGAATGGAAATGTGTGTATGTGGAGAAACAGAAAAATGTATAAATTATATTTGTAGTAAGGTCAAGGCTTTTCCTCCAATCTTCGCGAAGGACACGCGACAGAGCGCTCAATACTGCCTCTAAAATTATGAAAAGAAGTAAATTCTCATTAACAATAATTAAGAAAGTTTATTGAAGCTTCTAGACTTGCCATTTTTCTCCAATTCCTCTAAATTGTCTGGATTTCTAGCAAGCTGAAGAATATAAGCCGACCCTCGTATTCTTTCAGGCAATTCCTCATAGAGTAATTCTATGTAGTCATCAATATTTCTTATTGACGCTTTATCGACGTCATTATTTACTTTGTCCAATACTCTTGCTTCCGATTTTGAACGAACCGAGGCAGATTTTAAGCTAGATACACCAGAATCCCTCGAGACTTTACGGTTTTTGAGGAAATAGATTATTTGTTCAACGTCTGATAGCTGAGATTTATGTATTAAATCGCATTTATCGACAACTTCTCTGGCCAAAGCAGCTACATCTGTTTTAGTATTTAATGTTTTAAGTCGAATGATTCGCTGACAATCCTATAAGAAAAACAAATAACAAATAATAAAAGGTATATACATATTCTCTATAGCTATGGCTGAATAAATTATGTCTCGTTGTTATGGCATTGGATATACCAAAAATGATGAATGAATCATTCGCCTTGGAAAATCATTTGCTATTTTGTTTGTTGCTTTTAGGTTTAGATTTACCTTTTTATCAGCCAGCATTGGATCCGAGACATCTTTATCGCCATAAACAGCCGCTTCAAGTTTATAATTGACAATAATTGAGGGCTCAGTTGGATGAGGTTCAATCATTCCCCCTTTAAAACGTCTATAAAAAAAAAAGTGAAAACCATTAATTTAGCTAATTTTCTCATAGAGGAAGTGTTTGTTGTTTTATCGATTTGTCTCTCTGTTTGATTGAATTCTCTTATCAAAGTTTAATAATTTTTTTTTTATTGGAAAAACTTGTAATGATGAACTTTTGAGTAATTCCTGATAAAAAGACATTATCAAGGTCTTAGAATAGATAGCAATTTTATATCGCTTATGATTTATGATCTAAACTAGTTGAACTAGTGAATTTTAAAAGATCCAGTAAACTCAAGAATCATGTCATTGTTAACAAAGATGATAAAGAGTTATCGATCTGGATGTTGGAGAATGCGCTAAATCGTCCAGTTTAGACGATAATGCTTAATACTTGTTCTTTGCAACTTTTATTGATTTTTCTGCCAAAAAGAAATCGAGAAACTAGAAAAAATACGTACTTTTTAATGAATTTTGCGTCTTCTGACTGCATGTTTGGTCTAAAATCGTTAATTAGCGACGTAATGATGTAATACAGATAATGCACAATAAAAAGTATAGACAATACAATCGATACCAATTCAAATATCATAAAAATTATTCATAATGTCCAAAATTTTCCAATCACTTGAAATATTTTTTAAATAATATTATCACGAATTCACTAATTATAGCATTATATTTGAGTTCTTAGCATAATTTGGTAACTTAGCTACACGAATATTGCACTTTTTGTTGACTTTTGTGGGACGAATCACTTGAATTAATTTATTTTTGTTCTGCTAATATTTTTTTCTTTTTTTGTCTGCACTTTCACGCCCCTCGATTCCAACTGTTTAAAAATATTTGAATCATACAGTAGTTTCAGGACCCTCGAATTCAACTGTCAAAGAATATTTAAAGTAAACAGTAGTTTCACACCCCAAACATTCTTCTTTCTTTTCATTTCCATTAGTTCTTCGAACAACACGTTTTAAAATGGTAAATTGCAAAATAATTAAAATAACTAAGAAAATATAGTGATTTTATAGTATAATTCACGACTAAAGAGCTGTTAAGGCTAGTGGCTATTGAAAAATCACTGAAATTCGCTTGGAAAATTGTGGAAAATCGATGAAAATAATGAATTCAAATTTACTTGTTTATTTCTTAGGGGAAAGTGAAGTGTTCGGAATTGCGACAAAAGGATAAAAAGGAGCTGACCAAGCAGCTCGAAGACTTGAAGCAAGAACTTCTTGGACTTCGTGTTGCCAAAGTCACTGGTGGAGCTCCTTCAAAGCTTTCAAAAATGTAAGATATTTAAATTTGTCTCATAAATTGCATATTAATTGATGTTTGCTTTATTTCTTCTAGCCGTGTAGTCCGTAAAGCAATTGCTCGTGTCTACATTGTTATGAACCAGAAGACAAAGGATAATCTTCGTAAATTATACAAGGGCAAAAAGTACAAGCCTTTAGACTTGCGACCAAAAAAGACTCGCGCAATGAGAAGAGCACTCAGTGAACGTGATGCCAGCAGACTTACAAAGAAGGAAGTTCGTAAACGTTCAGTCTATCCAGTCCGCAAATATGCTGTAAAAGCATAAGTATGATTTTTATGAATGGAATTTAAGAATAAAGATCAACATTCTGAAAAAATTAATCTTATTTTTATTATTGAGGTTAAATTGATTTTCCAGAAAAAGGTTTGTTTACATATTTTTCAGTAAATTAGACTTTGTTTATTATGAATTAATGTTTAATAGTTCTATAATTTTATTGCCATAATAAGGATGCTACAGATAATGGCGGCATGTTTGCTTCGGATCCTTTGCTAAATCCTACAAAACAAAAGATCCAGTAAATGAAAATCAGTAAATTTGTTAAATAATCATTAATTTACCTAAATACAGGACAGTTGGAATGAATCCCCAGTGAAATACAGTCTTTGCCACTTCAAACACCATTCCTAGACGTTCCTTTGCTTGTTCTGACAGTGCCATTTTAGTAAAATTAATTCTTTTTGTATTATTGATCGATCGAATAAGTTTGTAGCAGTTTGTAGAACTAAAATGATTTAATAGCATGAATGTCCTCAATGAGCAATAACATTATTTTGTCTGTCTGACATTTAACAGCTTTTTGAGACCGTTAAGTTTTCGAATTTTGATGAAACTTTTTCAATTAATTGTCGATCGTTATGTTTTCAAATTTTAAATCCTTTCCGTGGATTGATAACTGGGTGTTGCGCATAAATTAAACTTAAACCAATGAATATGTGAAGGGCCCAGCTTTTTGAGCTGGAGGTATGCGAATCAAATTAGATACGAATCTTTCATAGCTTAAAGTGTACCTAATTCGAACCACTTGCAAATTTAATTCTCTGCTCAATTGCAGTGCTTAGTAAATGCGCTTAATACACAAATATACTAATGATAACTTTACCAGCTTTAAATCTACACATACATTTTGGTCTACTTGAATGTTAATTTCACAAAAAAATAATAAATTAAAAATATTAAGGAAATGGCATCAATCAGCACGAGAGCGATAGCTGGTTTTTCAAGATTCTCACCATTGATTCAGAAATCATTAAATTTTAGGTAAATTAACAGCAAATTAGTGATTTTTGGAAAAAATGATGTAACCTTCGTTTCTAATTCCTTAATATTCCAGAGTAATATCAGTTAAGCATAGAAACTTCTCGGCCGAACAAGCACAAACAGAACAGCCAGCAATTGAATTGACAGAGAATGAGAAAAAGCTGACAGCTGATGTCGAGAAATTGACAAAGGATGTGGAAACATTGACTGAAAAGAACAAGGAACTTGATGTAACTTATTAATCTTATCTAAAAACTTAAATCTATGTCTACAGCATGTGTAAATTTATAGGATAAATATAAGAGATCATTAGCAGATAGTGAAAATATGCGTAAAAGGCTAACAAAACAAATTGATGATGCCAAGATCTTTGGAATCCAGTCATTCTGTAAAGATTTACTCGAAGTCTCAGACATCCTTAATGCCGCAACAGAAGCAGTTCCAAAAGAGGAAGTGTCTGATAAAAATCCGCATTTAAAGAGCTTATATGAAGGTCTTACAATGACGAGAAATCAGCTTAGCCAAGTGTTCAAAAGGAATGGACTCGAAAGTGTCGATCCAATTAATGAAAAGTTCAATCCAAATTATCACGAAGCATTATTTCAACAAGAAATCCCGAATAAAGAACCAAATACAGTCGTTGTTGTTAGTAAAATTGGATATAAATTGCGTGATCGGTGTATTCGAGCAGCACTGGTTGGTGTCTCTAAATAAAAAGGCTACAAAATATGAGAGGAGCTTGATTCATGGATAATGGACTAGATCAGAAAAATTCCCTTGCAAAATCTGAAAATAAAATTTATTATTAATGAAGCAAGTTATTGATTCTTTTAGAATTTTGGCATTAATTGTAATAAAGTCGGCAGAAATTCCTTGACAATATTAGAATTTACTTTACTGTTTACTTGTTTTTTCTGTGTGTACTGGCTAAGAATGTGAAACAAATCTCTCGCACAAATGTTGACCATAATTAATAAAAGAGATAATATTAAGGAAAATTATACGTCATTAAATGCTTAGAATTGAAATTGACGGCTTTCTAGTCGTGCTTGCAAGTTCTCCAATTGTCTCTTTGCTTCACATGATGGGAAATTGTTGAGATCGTAGTATTGCGGTGCAAGCTTTAACAGCCATTCAGCTATTGAAATTTAAAACAAATTATTAATGAATTGATTCTAAAAGCTTTTATATCTAAACTCACGCTTGACATCAGTTACAGTTCGAATGTAATTCTTTGTCGTCAACACAAACTCATTGTAAATTACCCAATCTGGTTTGTGATCTAAGCATGTTGACGGATGTAATTGTACAATCTGATTATCCTTAATTGTCAGATAATGTCCAGTTCGCTCTAAATGTGCAACTTGCATGAAAAAGCCTTCAACAAGTGCCTTACGAATGTTTATATAATAATCTTTTGATGTGAATTCTGTGCTGGTACGTTTCAAATTAAATCTGTCCATGATACGAGCCAATTGTTGTCGCACGTTGTCTGCTGACTTTAATGAGCGATAATTGATATAGTTCTCGTAACACCATTGTGGGTCTTCATTGCCTGGTTAATAGTTTTGAAAGTGATTATCAGTTAAAATTCAAATATTTTATGTTCGTTATTTTTCAAATTTCATCAAATAAATCAGCAACTTACTCTGTTTGAAAGCATGAAAGACATTCAGCAACGTCAAGTGATCACCGTCAATGTGCGCAAATCTCATTTTTGCCTCGTCAGCTTGCTTCTTCATTTCATTGGGTCTAACAAAAGCCTGGGGCACTTTAAATGTTAAAGAACAGAAAAAATGGACGCAGCAAATGTGCAATTTTTTGAATGGGGATCAGAATTCATATTAAAAAATTCCAGAAAAGCCCATTCACACGTCCGTAAATCAATAAAAATTGCCAAGAAAATTGTCAACAATGAGATCGAAAAAATATATGGTTATAGGTTTCAGGTATAGGCCATTGATTATGTATCGAAAATAATTTTTGATTTGATAAAGATACTTAAATAATAAAATTAAGACTAAAGTCTCACCAGATAACATAGCAGTGATTGAGAGGATTTCATTAGAGCAGTTGTGTGAGCATGATGCGATCAACATTTTAGCTAGTTGTGGATCTAATGGGAATTCTGACATAACTGAGCCTAAATCTGTTAAGTTTCCATCATCATCTAGTGCTGCCAAGTAGTTCAATAATTCTAAAGCACGCATCAGTGTTTCCTAAATTGATATATTGATAAGGATTAGTGTTCATGTTGTTCTGGATTATATTAATCATCGGATTTAAAAATTAATCTTTGGATTAAACTTACCGGTGCTGGAGGGTCCATAAAATCGAAATGTACCAAATCATCAATTCCCAGTTTCTTCAATTGTAGAACGACAGTTCCTAATAATTCAATAAATCATGGTTAAGCATTGAAAATCAATAAAAATCATCAAAAACTTACCCAAATTGGATCTTAAAATTTCTGGATAAGTATTGTCCTGCATTTCCTCTTTGTAAGCTTTTTCAGTGTATAAACGGAAGCATTTTCCAGGTCTGGTTCTTCCAGCACGTCCAGCTCTTTAAAAGGCAACACAATTAATACTTTTAACAACCTTCAAAAACTATGTTTTACCTTTGTTGCGCTGAAGCTTTACTAATTGGAGATACCAATAAACTTTCGACACGAATGCGAGGATTATAGACTTTCTGCTTAGCAAATCCAGGATCTAAAGAGCAATAAGAATCATTAATTTACATAATACAATTAAAATTACATCGTTGATAGAAGTCATTAACTCACCAATCACAAAGACAACACCGTCAATAGTCAAGGATGTTTCTGCGATATTTGTACTGATAACGACTTTCCTTCCAATTGCGCCATTGGCACGTCTTGGCGGAGCTGGCTCGAAAATCTTTTGTTGAGCTGCTGGTGGCAATGTTGAATATAGTGGAATACATTTGAGTTCACCAACATCTGGTCCTAAATTGTCAATTTCCCGCTTAACTCGTTTACAAGCTTCCTCAATTTCTTCCTGACCAGTTAAAAACATAAGCACGTCACCTTCAATCTCCTCGCACATGTGAATTTGAATGACAGTTCTAATTGCAGCTTCTAAATAATCCCGTTCAGGCTCTGGTGTGTAGAAGATTTCAACAGGATGTGTTCGGCCAGGAACATTCATTAGTGGCGCATTATCAAAATAGTTTTGGAATTTACCAGCATCCAAAGTAGCAGACATAATAACTAATTTCAAATCATTTCGTTGCTTAATAACTTCTTTAAGGACACCCATTAATAAATCTGTGGCTAATGTTCTTTCGTGAGCTTCGTCCAACAATATAACTTGATAATTTTCTAGCATTGGATCAGACATAGCTTCTCTTAATAACATACCGTCTGTCAAGTATTTTAAAACAGTTTTTGGTGATGAACAATCCTCGAAACGAATTGAGTAACCAACTTCCTGACCAAGTAGAACATCCATTTCTTCAGAAACTCTCTGAGCGACTGACATTGCAGCTACTCGTCTTGGTTGAGTACATGCAACACCTTTAGCACTTAAACTTCTTGCATAATCGACAGCCCATTGTGGAATTTGTGTAGTTTTTCCACTTCCAGTTTCACCGACAAGCACAATGCATTGATGTTCAGCTAAAAGTCGCATAAAATCAGTTCTGTAATCAAAAACTGGCAGTAAAACTCTCTTTTTCAATAATGCTTGATAATTTGCTGAGTATAAAGCTCCATTTAATGGATTAACTGATCCAGCTGCTGCCGTCGGTGCTGTATTTGGCAAATTTAAAGGAATGCCTTTTTCCTCGCTTAAAAAAACACAATAAAAACGTTTTCGATGAAAAAATCTTATTTTCTTGAAATTTCACTAATTTACCGTCTCTTCTTGATAAAAGGATCCATTACTTCAATTCTCCTCTTCGACATTGTCCTCTAAGTGCGATTTATATATTTTTAAAAGGCTTAAATATGCTTGATTAAAGTGATTTTTTGAAAAATTACAATATTTTTTGTTTGCTTTGGTTGTGTTGGTATTCGTGTGTGTGTTTATACGATTTTTCAAATATTCTTTGTCCGTTAATTTTTATACGAGTTTAATATTAATCTCAGAGAGAAACGTGTTTCAAGCAACATGTGATTATACATGCACGATGATTATATGCCAAATGTCATTAATTGAAGCTTGTTAATTTAAAAACATTCTCAAAACTGGTCGCAAATATATAAACGTGGATTTAAAATTCTAGTTATTTTGAAAACATTACACTAATATTGTGTAATTAAATAATTATATTCAAGGTTCAGAATTTCTGGTCTTGATTAAAATTGAAACAAGTGTTTATCAACACAGTTACGCAGCAAAAACTGTGCAGATAAGGCTCCGTTTCTGTATAAAATTTATTTTTATCGCACAGATCATTAGTACTTTATAATAGCATTTGGAATTTAAACTTTGATCAATCAAGGCACAAATTAGCACCAAAAGAAATGACAAATTTTGAAATCGTTCAGTCAGAATTCGGTCCAATTAAAGGATTTCATAAACAACTGGCATTAAATAATAATTGCGTTGCATTCCAAAATGTTCCTTATATGAAGGCACCAATTAGAAATTTGAGATTCCGAGAAGCACAACCGACTGAAAAATGGCAAGAACCGTTAGATGCAACAAGTGACATTATTGGATATTGTTCGTTTAATCATTTTAAGGAAGTTGAAGGAAAAGAAGATGCTGGAATTTTAAATATATTCACAAAAAATCTTAAACCAAAGAAACTATGTCCTGTAATGGTTTGGGTGAGTTATGACTTTTAAACTTTTAACGGATTCAATAAATTTTAATTTTAAAACCTTACAATTGTTTGCATTTACCAACATTTGTAAGGTTTTAAAAAATAAATTGTACGGATCTCAACTGATAATGAAATTAAATTTCATAGAATCTTTTTAATTCTCAATTATTAATAGTCTTTTTCTACTTAAACAGATTCACGGAGGTGGCTTTATCATTGGAAGTTCAAGTACTGACATTTACGGACCTGATTATTTCTTGCAGGAAGATATTGTTTTTGTTTCAATTAATTACCGTCTTGGGGTTTTTGGTTTCTTGAGTCTTGATGATGAATCTTTGAATATTCCAGGCAATAATGGTTTAAAGGATCAAATCTTTGCATTAAAGTGGATAAAGAAAAATATTGCAAATTTTGGTGGAGATCCCAATAACATCACAATATTTGGTGAGAGTGCTGGAGGTGCCAGTGTGCATTTTCTTTGTATAACTGAACAATCAAAAGGTCTGTTTCAAAAAGCGATAATCATGTCAGGCTCAGCTTTGTGTAAAACATGGGGATTGATTCCTCAGTCAACATCAAGGAAACATACCGAAATATTAGCTGAAAAGCTTGGATTTAGTGGAAATAAAAGTGATCAAAAGAGCTTGCTACAGTTCCTTGAAAAAGCACCTGCTGAAAATATAGTAAAAGCTACTGAAGAAATCCTCACTTTAGAAGATAAATACTGTTTTGCTTTTCATTCTCCTTTTGTACCTGTTATAGAGCCATATAAGACTAAGAACTGTTTCATACCAAAAGACCCGCTAGAGTTGATGAAAACTTGTTGGACTAATAAAATTGACATTTTATTTACTGGAAATTCAATTGAAGGTATCATTCGAAAGATTGAACCACTTGAAACTGGAATACAGATTTTTAATAAAAATCCATCGTATGCTTTGCCACTTATCGAGCTACAAGCAGATCCATCTGATCAGCATATTCAAGAACTAGGTTTGAAGATTAAAAATCTTTATTTCAATGGAAAATGGGATGATCGAGAATCATTTCTTCGACTATCAAGTGAATTAATGTTTTGGAATCCAGTTTATCGAACCATTCAGTCAAGAATTAAGCATGCAAAAGGAAAAACATATCTTGTTCGGTTTGATGCTGAAGGTGGACGAAACTTTTTAAAGGAATTTTATCAAAGCACTGAGTACAAAGGAGCTAGTCATGGAGACGAACTGTTTTATATTTTTGAAAATGCTATCTTCGACAGACTTGAAACAAATTCAAATGATTTTAAGATAATGAAGCAATATGTTGGAATTCTTACAAATTTTGCAATTAAAAGTTCACCAAATTCAGAAGAAATTGAGCCACTCAAATTGAAAGAATTGACTGATCCAAATAAAATTATGTGCTTACAAATTACTGAAAAAGGAACAAGCATTGTAGAGCTTCCAGAATCAGAGAAATTAAAAGTTTGGGGGACGCTTTATAAGGATAGTAAAGTTTTTAGATCTAAGTTGTAAAGTAATGATCAAATTGCAGCTCATTGTATCGCTTGAACTGTTTCCTAAGGCTCAAAAAGATACGAAATGCCGGCAAATTAAAAAAACCTATTCTTCTTTCCAGATATATTTCTATAAGATTTGAAAACCGGTTTATTTAAGGTTTTAAATATTTTCATTGGAATTGGAATTGTTGTTTAATTATTTTAGTTCCATTATTACTTTTTCTTAATATTTTACTTTATTAAAAGTTTATTTATTCAAACTAAAATCAATTCTCTTTATTCCAAGCTAATCATTCTCTTGTTCGTCAAAAAAAATTCTCAGAGTATGACCTTCACAAACATATGATTATGATTAACAAATACAAACTCGAACCGGCATTTTAGATCAATTGCACTTATACTTGCGTAAATTACTAAAGAATCAAACTTGATTTATCGAAAAAAGAAAATAAGCATAATACTCTTGTGATATGGCTACTTCTTTCTCAAATCAATCCTCGCTACACAGAACAGAACAGAACAGAACTTGTTTTGATTTAGCTCACTCAAGTGATCTCCAACACATTCATAGTCAATGTATCTACAGTATAGTGCACAGATAAGAACTTATTAATTTCCTTATCAGAAGTGCTTTAGGAAAAAACTTGCTGCCTTTTATAGCATTCAGAATTGAAAGTCATTGAAGCTAGACGTAAAATCCAAAAATGGAAAACTTTGAAATTGTTCAGTCAGAATTCGGTCCAATTAAGGGCATCCATAAGAAATTAGCATTGGATACTGAATGCATCGTGTTCCAAAGTATTCCTTATATGAAGGCACCGGTTGGAAATTTGAGATTTCGTGAAGCAAGACCGACTGACAAATGGGAAGAGCCATTAGATGCAACAGGTGAGATTTTGGCATTTCCTTCATTTTATGAAGGAATTGGAGCAATTGGACAAGAAGATGCTGGAATTTTGAATGTGTTCACGAAAAACCTTAAGCCTGTGAAGCCGACGCCAGTCATGGTTTGGGTATGCTAAATCTTGAGAGCTCTCTATGGACTCAAATTTATTGGAATTTTTTATTCACAGATTCACGGAGGTGGATTCTTCCTTGGAAGCTCAAAAACTGATACTTATGGACCAGATTACTTCATGCAAGAAGATGTCGTCTTTGTTTCAATCAACTATCGTTTAGGAGTTCTAGGGTTTTTGAGTCTCGATGACGAATCTTTGAATGTTCCTGGAAATAACGGATTAAAAGATCAAATCTTTGCTTTGAAGTGGATCAAGAAAAATATTGCAAATTTCGGTGGAGATCCCAATAACATCACAATATTTGGTGAGAGTGCTGGCGGTGCCAGTGTCCATTTTCTCTGCATAAGTGAGCAATCGAAAGGTCTATTCCAACGTGCAATTGCTATGTCAGGAACAGCTTTATGCAAAACATGGGCATTGATTCCTCAATCAACCTGCAGAAAACATGCTGAAATATTAGCTGAGAAACTCGGATGGACTGGAATGAAAGGTGATCAGAAAAGTTTATTAAAGTTCCTCGAAAATGCTTCTGCTGCAGATCTAGCTAAAGTTACTAATGATATATTGTCTGCTGAAGACAAGTTGAAATTCGGATTTTATTCACCTTTTGTACCTGTTGTTGAGCCTTATATTTCTAAGAATTGTCTCATTTCTGAAAATCCATTGAACATGATGGAAACCTGTTGGACTAATAATATTGACATTTTATTCACCGGTAATTCTCTTGAAGGAGTTTTGAGAAATGAAGGAAAATTAGAGCTCGGAATAGAAATTTTTACCAATCCAGCATACGTCTTACCGCTCTTAGAGCTGAGGTTAGATCAATCTGATGATCATGCTAAAGAATTAGGTTTAAAGATCAAAAATCTTTACTTCAATGATCAAATGGATCCAAAAGAGTCGTTTATAAGACATGGAAGTGAGCTGATGTTCTGGAATCCAATTTATAGAACCATAAAGTCAAGAATTGAATATGCGAAAGGAAAATCTTATCTTATTAGATTTGATGCTGAAGGTGGACGGAATTTCGTTAAACAATTTTTCAAATGCTCACAATATAAAGGAGCTGGACATGGAGATGAATTGGGTTTTATATTCACCTCAGTAATGTTTCCAACTCTCGAACTCGATTCTGTGGATTATAAAATCATGAGAAATTATGTAAGCATTTTGACGAGTTTCGCTATTACTGGATCACCGAATTCTGATGAAATTAAACCTTTATCTTTTGTGGAACTTAATGATTCTGACAATATTAAATGTTTGCAAATCACAGAGAGTTCGTTGAGAGTAATCGATCTACCAGAAGCTGAAAAATTGAAAATCTGGGGTACAATCTATGAAAATAAGTAAAACTTTTAAATAACTGTATGCTTTATGCTCCATATAAATGTTGTTGATCAATAAAATTGTCATTCAAAACGCTTATAAGCGTTTATTTTATCTACTAATAATATACGTGTTGTACACGAATGTACAAATTGGTACAAATACAATCAAAGACTTACAATGTCTACACTGGTCTACACAATACAGCTGGTATCAATAGTTTAAACAAGAATTGTTCACTATTTACAAAACGAAACAAAAATTGTGGAAATTTTAATTATTGTACAATCGGAGTTTGGGCCAATAAAAGGTTTCCACAAAAGATTAGCTTATGACAATGATTGCATTGCATTCCAAAACATTCCTTACATGAAAGCACCGGTTGAACATTTAAGATTGCGAGAACCAAAACAAACTGACAGATGGAAAGAACCGCTGGATGCATCAGGAATGTTTCAAGTTATTTTTCATGTTATCCTGGATTTCCATTGTTTGGACAAGAGGATGCGGGCATTTTGAATAAAATGGTTTGAAAAATTGTAACCAAATGTAACATAGAAGGGGGGGGGGGGGGGGGAGGGGTCAAGAAGTATATAACGAAGTAAGTAAATTTGTTTACAAATTCACACCAAAAACATTTTTTTAAATTTTCCACCGTTTTAATGATTTATGAATGTCCAGATGGGTCCAGATCACTTTTGATAGCTAAGCAATACATAGTTTTTGTTATATAATGTAACAAATCAATAGAAAACTGGTTTACAAGACTTTATAATACAACCATAATTTGTGGAAATTTTCAAAATTAACTCAATCATAAGTTTAAAAGTAAATCTCTCTAAATCTGTCATTCATATGATGATTAATATGGATTAATATGATCCCATCATTGTGATATTTACATTCAAAGTTGATTGAATTTTCCAAAATTCGATCGGGCATAATATTTTTGAATTTTCTTCAAAAAAAAACAAATTTTTGCTTTGTATCTTAATCCAATAATTCATGAGAATACTAATAGTATCAATCAAAACATGACCTTTTTAGCAGTACAGTATTTTGATGTTTAAGAAAAAAAATACAAAAGAAATTTAACCGTCTTTTTAGAATAAAAAATTATCAAAATAAAATAAATTATGAACGTTCAGGGGGGGGGGGGGGGTTGAGTTGTAACATATTGTAACAAGGGGGGGGGGGTGAAAAAAGTAGTTTTTTGCGTATCGTAATAAGTGAACGGCCCCTTCTTTCTTGCAAGATATTGAAGATATTGTCTTTGTTTCAATCAACTTCAACTTTTGGATTTTTAAGTCTCGATGATGAGTCTTTAGGAATTCCAGGAAACAATGAATTAAAAATCAAGTTAACAGTGTCACAAATACTCAAATTTACTTCTAAATGAAAAACATCATAATATGAAACAGGGACGTAGCCACAAACTTAAAGGGGGTTGGTATTTTTTCTCAAAAACGCTAGCAACTTGAAGAGTTTTTCGAAAAATGGGGGAGGAGCGTTTGGAGTCGAAAGATCCTCTTGGGTAAGCTTTCTGATATGAATCCGTATAAATGATTGTTATGTAATATTCAATTTCCAAAATATTCAAACACGTTTGTGTTCAGTCATGCAATTTTCAATAATGAAAACAAACAGAGTTTAACAGAGTTGTAACAATGGTACATATGAACATATTTTTAACTACTTCATGTTATCATGTGCTTCTGCTTAGATAATAATAATAATAATAATGTGTGAAGGGCCCAGCCTTTCACTTGCCTTTCACCCAGCCTGGAGGCACTGCGATTCAAATTAGAACAGAATCTATTGTACCACACCCTTTAGACCTACAGTTTTTAGTGGGATCCGAACCACTTGCTTCTGCTTAGATACTAAATGTCAAATAATGAAAACCGGAAATTGGAATTGGTCTGAGAGTTGCATCTCTGCCTAATACAAACAAAACGATGAGACCACATACATTGATGATAAATTAAATTAAATTGACTTTTTTATTCATCAGTCAGAATACAAAGTTCGTCAAATAAAGATTTAAAACCGCAAGCGTCCGAAAAATGGAAAACTTTGAAATCGTTCAGTCAGAATTCGGTCCAATCAAGGGCATCCATAAAGAATTAGCATATAGAAAGAACTGCATTGCATTCCAAAATATTCCTTATATGAAGGCACCCGTTGGAAATTTAAGATTCCGAGAAGCACAACCGACTGACAAATGGGATGAGCCTTTGGATGCAACTGGTAAAATAGTTTCTTATCCTTCATTTCTTCCTGGAATAGGACTAAGTGGACAAGAAGATGCTGGAATATTGAACATTTTCACAAAAAATTCAAAGCCACAAAAGCCATATCCTGTTATGGTTTGGGTAAGTCAATAATAAAATATTTTTGTAGAACAAAAACGGATGTTATTCATTTTGTAGATTCATGGCGGTGGATTTATAATGGGTGGTTCCAGTACAGACTTCTTTGGTCCAGATTACTTCATGCAGGAAGATGTTATTTTTGTATCATTCAATTACCGTCTTGGAGCTTTTGGATTTTTAAGTCTTGATGATGAATCTTTGAATATTCCTGGAAATAACGGATTGAAAGATCAAATCTTTGCTTTGAAGTGGATCAAGAACAATATTGCAAATTTTGGTGGAGATCCCAATAACATCACAATATTTGGCGAGAGTGCTGGTGGTGCCAGTGTTCATTTCCTCTGTATAAGCGAGCTATCCAAAGATTTATATCAGCGTGCAATCGCTATGTCAGGAACTTCATTATGTAAAACATGGGCACTCATACCTCAGCATTCTTGTCAACAATATGCTGAAGTATTGGCTAAAAAGCTTGGATGGACTGGAAAGAAAGGTGATCAGAAAAGCTTGTTAGACTTCCTCGAACAAGCTCCTTATGAAGACATCGTAAAGCTTACCTTGGAAATTCTGACAGCACAGGACAAGTTATCATTTGGACTAATCTCACCTTTTGCACCTGTGGTTGAGCCATTTGTTTCAGAGAATTGCTTGATTCCTGAAGATCCACTGAAAATGATGGAAACTTGTTGGACAAATAACATTGACATATTGTTCACTGGAAATTCGCTCGAAGGAGCTTTGAGAAATGAAGGGCAACTAGACCTTGGAGTTGAAATTTTTACCAATCCAGCTTACGTTTTACCGCTCTTAGAGCTGAGATTAGATCCATCTGATGATCATGCTAAAGAATTAGGTTTAAAGATCAAAAATCTTTACTTCAATGATCAAATGGATCCAAAAGAGTCGTTTATAAGACATGGAAGTGAGCTGATGTTCTGGAATCCAATTTATAGAACCATCCAGTCGAGAATTGAATATGCAATAGGAAAATCTTATCTCATTAGATTTGATGCTGAAGGTGGACGGAATTTTGTGAAACAGCTATTCAGTTGTACTCATTACAAAGGAGCAGGACATGGAGATGAAATGGGCTACATATTCACCTCAGTAATGTTTCCAACTCTCGAACCTGATTCTGTGGATTATAAAATCATGAGAAATTATGTGAGCATTCTGACTAGCTTTGCTGTTACTGGATCACCGAATTCTGATGAAATTAAACCTTTGAAATTTGTGGAACTTAGTGATGCTGACAAGATTATGTGCTTGCAAATTACAGAAAAATCAGTTGACATTGTTGAGCTTCCTGAATCTGATAAATTGAAGGTTTGGAGCACAATTCATGATGAAAAATAACTACAGCTTTGACTATTCGCACCATCTGTATATGAACCATATTTAAAAGAGGGTATCATGAAGGATCAAAACTATGACAAACCCTCTTAAAAATGAAATGAGATTGCAATTAAAACAAAATTGAAGTTTTTTTTTGAAATTTTTGGTTGCATTTTTTTTATTTTGCACAATTTTTTATATTTTTTTAAATAACATTTTAATTGTATGAACTAACAGAAATCTTTTTTATTATTTTTTTTTCAATAATTTTTCATCTATTTTTTTATAATTTTTCAAAATGTGATTTTTTTTTCAAAGTTTTTCATTTTTTGATGTTTTTTAATCCTTTTTCTCTTAATTTCATTAATAATAATTACAAATATGAACATAAATGGATAAAAAGAAAGAAAATATAATTAAACAATATTGCAGTTACATCGTAAATTCACCAAGGAACTTCATATCCTCGTTTTTCTCATTTTTTTTTTTGATTATTGAGCAGCATTATCTGATGCTCGAATAGGGGGAAGGGGGGTACTTTTTATGTATAATCATGTTTCGTTATAATTATTTTCTCAATTTATTATTTTCATTTATTATGTATGTCCATTAAAAGCTAAGAGAACAAACAATGAAACGTAAAAGCTTACGTAATTTTATGTCTGCGACTTAATTTATCTCCATTTATCAAGTTTTTTTTTTCTAATTCATAAACAGAAGATGTAAGTCGTCATTTTTTCAGATGAATTTTAAGGAAATCAGTAAATTATGGCGAATTGGCGAAGCTTTTTCGATGAGTTTTTACTGATTCTACTGAATCTCGGTCATTAAAATTGAATATTTATCTCATCTACTATACTCAGAAGTTTAAACAAACACGGATCTGACCTTCAAAAACAGCTTAGCCAACTCCCCAACCACAAAAATCGAGAGAAAGTCCTCTCCATACAAACAAAAAGAAGTGATAATTTCATTACTTAAAATTATAATTATAATTACACATCCAGTTCTAATTAAAATTTAATTAAACAAAAAAATATATAAAATTTGATGAGTCGATTTTAAGGAAAAACAATTTACAAAAGCTATAAAAGAAAAGTAAAACATTTTTTTTATTGATGTTGATTCCTATCATTAATCATTAATTTATGTTTCTTTATCGTGTAATTTATAATAAGCCTGATTTTGATGAATTTCCTTTCTCTCAGTTTAAATTCTTTCTTAAAATATCATTAAGAGTTGGTTTTTTAATTAACATACTTCATCCACATCCATTACACACACTTTAATTTTTTTTTTCATGAAGCATATTGGATGTTAAAGTTTTGCGGACCTTTTTACAGGTTTTTTGACAGACTTGAAGTTGGCGTTTATTTTAGATTTTTGAACAACTTAATTGATTTTTGAAGTTGACTTCAATTCTTGAGAATCAACCTGAATTTAGTTCAGAAAATTTCAAATTTTTCGTTATAAAACAAACTTGAAGTTGGCGTTAAGTTGAA